GCTGCAGAAAATTTACTCCACCAATAATTGAGGCTTTCCCACACTAATTTTCACATAAACACATGCACACACACAACTCCACATATTTTTTCTATCAAGCTTGAGTATCTGGCGCAGAGCATAATTTTTTTCAAGCACATTTTTTTAGATACCTATCAGGATTCTTTGACTGGTTAGCTTTCAGAAATTATCATTCTTCAAAAATCCTACGGATTAGACTATTGGACCGTTTTGCGCCTTTAGGTGTGATCTCTCAAAGTGTTTCTGTATCGCTACATAACACTAATTTGTTTCCGTCATTAACCGAGTCTCATTTTAAGTATGAATCGTCGTCTTCCAACGACTGTAGGCGATAGGTTTTAAAAGGTTTTGTTTTGCAAGTTCACCAGTTTGACTTGTTAAATTTGGATATTTTACTTGTTGGTGAACATAGTCGCTTCGCTGAAACAGCTGAGTCGTGGGCAACCGCTGCTATTCGACGGTGAAAATGATCGCATCAGCGAAGAGGAGGTCGGGCCACCGGAAGAAGGCCACGAGGACCTGGAGGACAGCTACCCTGTCTACCGGACTTCCACCATCTCCGACAGCACAATGCCTTTCGCAGTAACCACCTCGAGCTCCTCGCTTGACAGCGAGCTAGCCGCCCCATTCAGCTCTGCTGTCGAGCCGGCCGGCACGTTTGACGAGGCGCACATGCACACACTGGCGCCATGGCCGACGGACGGCAACCATGACGCTGGTGGCGACGGTGAGGAGACCTGCTCGCAGAGGCTCGGCTTCAGCGAGGAGACCAATTCGTTGAACGCAAACATGGACACCAACTCGATCGAAACTGGTGAGACGAATGAAGAGCTAAAGATATCATAATGACTTGGTAGATTTGGTATTCACCCAACCTCTACATTTGACCTAATTCGTGTACAAAATCGGTAGGCATGGCGAATTCGTGCACACTTATCGCGCTTCTTGTGACCTTCTGTTTTTTCCCTCTTCGCATTCTCACTTTGGGATAATCTAACTTTAGGTTATTTGGCTGTTGGCAACACGTTTGTCGAGGGGACGTCTTCTTTTTTATTGCACTGATGGCTACTTTGTCTAAATTGCATTGAGAAGAG